CTATCACATGATCATAAATATTCATAATCGGTTAAAATATAGATTTTTCTATTATTAAGAATATGATTTAAATTCCGATAATATATATTTTTAGATTTGCATGATATGTATTAGAATATGAGAATTATGATATAAATTGACTTGTACTGGTTTTAGTAACGACGTTAAATAGTATTTTAAAATTTAACAGGTTATTAATTAAAATTTAAATAGTTATTTCATTAATTTTTATAGTATTTACCACCTTATTAACGCGGGTCCTGTTCTAGTAGTTAATAAATATCGAGAAATTTTGAAATATGCCACTTTTCACATGCCACTTTTCAAAACTGCCGTTTTTCAAAATTACCACTTTTTAAAAACTTTTGCAACCATGCCACTTTTTTCCCCAACATTCCCAAATTACCCTTTAACTCATTTAACCTAAATTGTTTCATATCTTTTGGTGGATTTGATTAAGAACATATAACCTAATCTTTTTCAATTATGGTGGTTGATTTTATTAAGAACATAAATCTGAGATTTCTTCTCTCTCTGAACCTGATTTTATCTTTCTTTCTCTAAACCAGATCTCATCTTTTTCTCTTTCTGTGAACCAGATCTCGCCGTCGTGAGATCGGATCTCACTGTCTGATTTCGTCGTTGTTGTCGAAGAAAAACATAGATTTGAGCTAAGTTTCAAAAAGAAAACCAAATGGATATGATATTGGATCTCGTGGATTTAATAAGAAAAAGAAAGATCTTATCAGAGAAAACGTCGCAGATGCAAACGCCTACGCAAACACCAAACACTTTTAGCATTTTGGGTTTTGGTGAATTAATTTACATGTTGGTATAGTTTTTGGAGGTAGGGTTTAGAGTATATTTTTTAAATTGTCTGATGAAACTTTTTAAAAACATTTTAAAAATCTTATAAATAAATAATTTAAATAGTTTTACAAAAATATTTTAAAATCTTTATAAACATTATAAACCTTTTAAAGACCTTACAAATGAAGTATTAAATAACATTTTAAATTTTTAATTGTTTCACAAATCCTTTTAAAAACCTTATCTACATATTCTGATAAAATTTTAAAAAGTTTATAAACTGTTTATAAAGTTTTTAAATTGCTTAAAAAGTTTATAAAAAACGTCAAAACCCTAAATCTGTCAGAAAACATCAAGAACACAATTAATCTAGATCGTTTAACTCTTTTTTTTCAAGTGTGTTTTAAATTAAAAACTTTTCAAAACCTTATGAATTGTTTAAAAACTTTATAGAAAAACGTCGAAACCCTAGATAAGTAAGAAGAACATCAAA